AGCGGGGAAGCGGGGGAGCGGGAGCAGGAGCAGGCCGTCGGGGCAGGGGCGAGGAGGGCGGTGCGAGGGGGTCGCCATCTTTCCGTGGCGCTTGCTTGGCGGCAAGAGAGTGGTTTTAGCCAAACGGTGCAACAAACGCTCGGTGTTTATTAAATACAGAGGCTAAGACTACAGGAGGTGCGCGTGGGACACTTCATCTTAGGTTTAGCGTTATCTCTTAGCTAATACTCCAAAATAACATGTCGGCAACAGCTTGCTGGTTGAACGCCACAGCGTTTTCGTTGGGCGCCGCGATAACCTAAGTCTAGCCACTGCAGCTGATAGTTAAAAAGTAAATCTTTCATCCACGAAGTGACTTGTTGTTGGGGTTGTCATTTAATTGTTGACAGGTTATTTCAGTTGATCATTAGTGACTGGCTTATCTTCCTTCTTGCATTTAATGCCGAAGAAACTGAAAAGTTTCATTAGCATTAGATCAACAATCTCCTCTTCTTCTGAAGCCTAAAATAACAACGAGAAGTAAGTTACTCAGATGCATGGACCAGAAGCGAATACATTCTCTGCTGAAGCCAGAGAAGGTCGCAAGAGAAAATCTCTAGTTGAGGTGAAATAGGCCAACTTTCACTCTAAGCAGAGCATGAGTAACTGCCAAAGCAAAACATCACACCAATATTTTTGTTGAGACAAAAGTCCCGGATGAGCGTGGCTGAGCATGGACGTTATAGATGAAATTTTGGTTCTGTCAAAGCCCATGGAAATCTTGCTGCAGGAGCCTGGGGTTCCCTTGCCAGCTACCATACAGCTAGTGGCATATACAATGAGCTGTCCACCATTTCTAGATGAACTAAATGAGAAAAACTAAATATATCTTGTTTTCTATTGACCATATCATTTGTTTTCATCTCCCTTGACTTCATTTAAAACATAGAGGAATTTGGGACAGTGCTGGAGTACTAAGCTGGATTTCACACCCTGCTATCAATAGCTTGAATGGGCCAGGCACTCACCGTGACATTTTTAAAAGATCTGTCCCTTAGTAGCAGTTTTGGCACTGATTTCAATGGAGCTGGGGCACAAGTCTAAGGCTTTTGCTGGATTTAGTATGTGAACAGAAGGCTACAAATCAGATCTTGTACTAAATCTGAACAGAGACACATCCGAACAGGAATGGAGAGCATAAATCTGGAAAATCTGAAGTGTGCTTTATGAGGAAATGTTGAATTCTTAAGAGTTGGACTGAGTTTACATGTGTTTCATCCGAGGGTGGAATACCTAAATCATGAGTAAGCACTGCACAATAAATGTTAAAAATGGCAGGAGAGCTTGGATGAACACACCTGGTAGTGCTTCTGCTCCTCACTAAAAGCAACCAGAATCACCGAAATGAACAGATTCAGTACCACAAATGTCATGAAAATTATGCAGGATCCAATTAAGAAGGAGCCTAAAATTGGATTGTAGTCCAAGACCTGTAGTATTCATAAGGTAAAACATCATATTTTGATTGTAAAAACAAACAAACAAAAAGAGCATACATACAAGCAGTTAAGACACAATAAGGAGTTTGTCTCTGAAAATCCTTGTGGCTAATAAACTATGCTACATGTATTATACTTATGTATATAAATTTTCTCCTTTAGTCACTTTCCTATGTTGATATGATATAGGACAAAGATAATAGAATATTTTTTATATATGATATATGAATATGGGCAATCTTTGGGGGTTTTTAAGTGTTTGCATTTGATTGTAAGGGTATGGAAGTTTCATGTAAAAGTTGACAAGCCTGGAGATCTGTTTATCCACAGAACAGCTGAAGCTCCATCATGCCTCAGCTTTCAAAGTATAGATAAAATCTCTGTATGCTTTTATTTAGTAGTGTCTTTACAAAGAAGCCCAGTCAGACTGTCATGGACCCATCAGCAAAGGGTGGTGTAAAAATCCCAAACCCTCATTTTCATGTAAGCTATAACACAGGAATATATTTTCGTGATTAACAACATGGGTGGGATGTAGAGGTGAAAAACTTTGTGCCCAATTACTGATCTTCAAAGCTACCCATACCCTGTTGGATCCATGGTCTAAAAACATCCACCAAGGAGGATTTCACAGTCAGAGATGTCCCAGAACTAGCTTAATCCACAAAGAGCTGTTCAAACGATATTGTAATATTTGAAAGAACTTAATGAAAAAGTCAAGAATAATAAAAAGAAATGCAACGTAAAGTTCCCTTGTGGAAAGCCTTGCCTTTCTTGAGAAGCTGATGGGTGTGCGTTCAGAACATGTGCAGGGCACTTTTCTGTCTGTAGCTTTCTAAGCAAATTGCTCAAAACTTTCTGTAGTCAATAAGTAACATATCTAGTTAAAATGTGAGCACCTTTCTCAATGAAACATTCATTATAAGTCTACTGATGGTCAAAATGGGATGTGAGATATATTTCACTGGGTGTCTTTTTCCTGTCTTGATGAGAAAAGGTGGCTGCTTTAGGAGCCTGTGGACCTTGCAAAATTAGATTAATGTCTAGCACTAATTGAAAGTCTTTCTATTTGATGGTTCAAAGCATATTTGATAGCTGAGCTGCTAATTACACAGTGATAAACTTCTCAAAATCAGAGTTGGTACCTCCTCATAGTTGAAGATTCCCAGCTGAAGACTGACCATGGTCTCTGCTGCATCAAAGAGAGTTTTGTAAGAGTAGAGCTTCCAGCCAAATATCAAGTTTGTCTGCAGAGGAAAGAAGGCATATATTGTGTGATGATCAGAATCCTTGCTGCAAAATCAGCTAATGACTGCTGTATTCAGAGAAAGCTCTCTGAGCTTGTCATCAGAGCCATGAAGCTTTTTTTGTGTTTTGAGTTTTTTTTGTTCACAGACAGGGCAAACACCAGACAAGGTCACAGAAGAAGACTAACCTAGAGCCAAGAACTCAATTCGCACTTTCTGAGTGTGTTTAGCTGTAAGACCTTTTATCCTAGATATGAGAATATCTTATACCTGCTCAGCTTGCCACTAGATAATGTAAAAAACCTGCAAATACATGACAAAATCAGGAAAGTAATTTAGACCACCTCTAAGTAACAGATTTATCCCTGCATAATTGACTGAATTAATCATTAACATTTGCCTTTCAGTGCACAGATCCCTTCCCAACAACAGGCAACCTCCTTGTTTGCAGTTAGTGACCAAGGTTGTCCTGGTTTCAGCTGGGATAGAGTTAACTGTCTTCCTAGTAGCTGGTACAGTGCTATGTTTTGAGTTCAGTATGTGAAGAATGTTGATAACACTGACGTTTTCAGTTGTTGCTCAGTAGTGTTTAGACTATAGTCAAGGATTTTTCAGCTTCTCATGCCCAGCCAGGGCACCTGACCCAAACTGGCCAACAGTGTATTCCATACCATGTGACGTCCCATCTAGTTTAGGAACTGGGAAGTGGGGGGGGCAGG